AMAMSRMAACAMMACAMMMCMCMMMAMAMAACMACCACCACCACATGTCGCTGCTCTGGAACTGGGGGGCAAAAAGCCTCCTCCGGCGGTCCCCGGCGCCGCTCGCGGCCGGGAGGGGTCTTTCGCGGTCGATGCGSTCGGGACCGGGGCCGGCCGCAGCGCCCGTTCGGGGGGCCTCSCTGTCGCTGGCGGCGTCGCCGGCTCCGTCGCCGGCTCCGTGGTACCACCTGCTGACGCCCCTGCGCTACAAGTCGGGGATGAAAACCCACAGCGGTGCCAAGAAACGTTTCCGGGTCCGCGGGAGCGGCTCGATCAAACGGTGAGCAAAGGAAGGACCGCACCGTGCGATGCAGTGCACTGTAGTGTAGTGCAGTGCAGTGCAGTGCAGTGTTGCGTTGCGTTGTGTTGCGTTTTGCGACAAAGGGTTTTCCGGGTCTGTCCGGCTCGGCTCGGCTCGGCGAAGCACTGCTCGCTTCGATCGTTTGGAATGGAATGGAATGGAATGAAACGAAACGAAACGAAACGAAACGAAACGAAACTCCTCTCCTGCTCACGAATTCTTTTTTGTTTCGAATCCCATCGTCGAACCCGTCCGATTCCATCGATCCGTGCTGGTTTCCGCAGGCCGAAATCGGGAAAGAGCCACAACACCGGGTACCTGAAACGACAGCGGGCCAATCGCCTCGGGCATTCCACCGGAATCGAGGGCAAAAAAATCGAACAGCGYGTCCGAAAGCTACTGGGTGTGTTCAATGCTTGAGCATTGCAAACACCGGCGGGAACATTTATAAAATCAWAAGTYGTCGATTTTTCGGCACAAGATGTCATCGGTTGTACCTTGTGCTYTACCTGAGAGCGACGACTGAACAACAAAAATTGACAGAAATATGCAATGGTCGGAACCGAAAAATATGTTTATTAATCAAYATGTTAACTAATCAACACATCATCTCTCCGACAACGATTGTCGCATAGCAGTACAAGTACAGTACTTCGAAACAAAAATCGCTCGTTTTTTGYATSGGCGTCCATTATGAATTGCAACTCTAATTATTAGATGAGGACAGTGTTGTGTCCCTCCTTCGACAGAATGCCGGCGAACGCTAGAGTTTTTCGGTCAGCTCCGGAACCGCCTCGAAAAGATCTTGCTGGAGCCCGTAGTCTGCCACCTGGAAGATGGGAGCCTCGGCGTCCGTGTTGATGGCCACGATCACCTTGGAATCCTTCATTCCGCTCAGGTGCTGGATGGCACCGGAGATTCCGGCGGCAATGTAGAGGTCCGGTGCGACCACCTTACCCGTTTGCCCCACCTGCCAGTCGTTGGGGCAGAACCCGGCATCCACGGCCGCGCGGGAGGCACCGACGGCCGCCTGTTGCGTGTTGCACCGCGAGATTCGTGTTCGTTCATTGGATTGMGAATCAACCGAGAAACCAGGCAAAACRAAAAGGAAGCACAAGACACGACAAAAAAGGTTAGGCGGRAAAAGAARCCACTCGCTACAGCACAATCTTGTCCCTGCCAGTTTCTCCAGAATTCTGCGTCATGATCGTATTCATATCTTGAATCAACAAACCACTCSAGTTGGGTCCATCCCCGACAACAAAGCAGCAACACTCACCCCCAGTTTGTCTGCGAGTGCTTCGAGGATGGGAAAGTTTTCCCCGCTCTTGATCCCCCTTCCTCCGCTAACAACGGTRGTTGCACTCGACAAGTCTGGTCGATCCGATTGCGAAACGGACTCTCCGACCCACTCGGCCTTTCCAAAGGCTTCCACCTCCAGGCTCTCAACTTCGACGGAAGACGCATCGACTAGATCCGCCTTGTCGAAACAGGTGGGACGAATCGACAAGACCTTTCGATCGTTTCCGTTCGGTCCCGGCTTCACGACGACCTTGCCCAACACGTTGCCTGCATACATAGGGCGRACAAAGGTTTCTTTTATGGATGGTTCCGAAGCAAATTTTGGGTTTTGGGGYGTTCCATTCGACGAAAAGCGCATWTTCCATTAGAATCTTGTGCAAGACTTTAGTTTCGAAACAAAACAGACAAGCATGCACACCGTGCCATCACCCACACACGAAAACATACACACCAACCACCGGCAACACAGCGCCAGTTTACTGATGGATCTCTGCACTTAWTCCCAACACAACGCAACGCAGCGCAGCGCGACCGATACTCACTCTCGTCCTCGATTTCCAAAATATCGGTCACCGGCGAAACATCCAGGAGGGCGGCCGCTCTCGGCACCACCGTGCTGCCAAACTTCGACTGGGTTCCCACTACCACGCTGCACTCCTTGTCHGCGCCCGCTACCTCCAGCACGGCGCTGGCCACCGTCTCGCTCAGCTTGTCGTCGATGGCCGCGTGGAAGACCTTGGAAACCCCCGCGGGGATCTTCGACGGGGCCGTTCCCCCGACCACCAAGAGGTGGATGTCGTTGCCCCCGCCCAACCGGGCTGCGGCGGTGACGGTCGATTGTGTTCCCGCGGGCGTGGATCCGTCGGCCTCGAGCGGCTCGGAAATCACCAGGGTGGAAGCCATCCTCGCACTCCGGTGRRCGGTGGAAGCGGTCCTCCGCAGGGCTCTCGATGCGCATCCGCTTGCGGCACGCGATATCATCGTGAAACGGGGTGTGGTGTGTGTTCTTTTTGTCGTGTGTATTGGAAAGGTTGCTCTCTGGTGGCAGAGCAAGCAAAAAAAGGTTGG